CTCTCTCTCTCTCTCTCTCTCTCTCTCTCTCTCTCTCTCTCTCTCTCCACTTCCCACCAGCTCCATCTGATCCATAGGCAGGATGACCCTAGGAATGGTCCCAAAGATGGGATATCTCCTTCAGTCAGTATACCTCCTTAAAGCAGGAGGCTCCTTTCTAGAAGTTAGCGGGGCTGAGAGAAAGGGCAGAGGCAGAAATAACCCCAGGCTCCACCCAGAAGGATTAAATCACAAGAAACTAGGGACGGGGGGGGGGGGGGGGTTGGGGGGGGCTTAACATGTAGGAGCCAGAAGAATGCCATTGCTCCAAACATTGTAGCATCAGAGGGCTCAATCCCACGGGATACCCCCATGAGCCCAGAGGGCAGCAAGCACAATCCCAGGTCCATGATGCTGTGTGCTCCCAACCAGGTGTGGCACCTCCTCAAGGAACCCCCAGAGCCACCTGCCCCACTGCCCCCAGAGGACAGGCGTCAATCAGTGAGCCGGCAGCCCTCCTTCACCTACTCAGAGTGGATGGAGGAGAAGGTAGAGGATGACTTCCTGGACCTGGATGCGGTGCCTGAGACACCTGTGTTTGACTGTGTGATGGACATCAAGCCTGAGACTGATCCCACCTCGTTGACTGTCAAGTCCATGGGTCTGCAGGAGAGGTGGGAGGGGTAGAGGAGGGATGGGCCTGGGATCACAAACTCTCAGCTCCCTTTAAAGGGTAGATGCCAAACTCCTGGTTTAGAGGACAGGGTTATCTTCGTAGCTTAGCATGTGTAGACATGTACTTTTCCAGTAATGCATGTTGATCAGGATACCTCATGATGAATGCCCGAAAATAATAGTAATACAGTTCCTTTCCATGTACACACAGTGATGTTCAGTTGTGCACATATGCATGCCCATACTCTCCTTGGCTTGAAGAATTCAGTTAGTTTCCTTACAGTTTTAACTTAAGATTCCTTAAGTTTTGACTTACCTGTGTTCCTTGTAACTTGTGACTTGACAAAGGGACCATAGATAGCATTTCCCAAAAACCTCCTGGGCACGAAAACCCTACTTCCCTAGAGTGCCCCACAGGATTTTGAGCATGTTTGGGAGATGGTGACACCCTCTGTATAGAGCTAAGTAAGCTAACTCATATCTGGTTTGAGATACCCACACAATGTCATAAAAATACTCAATGAGGACTCAGAAAACCTAGACAATACTTCTCGGCTCAGCCACTTGCTCATAGTGAAAGCCTAGACAAGGTTAGTACCCTTCCAAAACTCAGTGTCCCTTTCTATGTAACTAGGATCCTCCCCGTCCTGATGTTTTAGACAGTGTGCATGATGGAGTTGGTCCAGTGTAGACATCTTTGCTACTTCTGGCTGCCTTTGGGCTTCCTCCTCCTCCGGACACAGAGGATTCTGGCCTCTCCTAGCTAAGATGCACTTGACCCCACAACAGCTTCATTCTAGAACTATGCTACGAAAGTCTCAAGCTGTACTCTTGAGTTTGAGCCTCACTTTAGTGGACATCTCCCCTATGGGTCCCCTTCCTCAACAGAGTCCAGGGGAGGGCCACTAGGGACAGCATAGGGATGAAGCTTTTGGAACAGGGGTCTCCACCCCACTGTGGGAAGGAGCAGACTGGGGTGTAGGCAAAGCTGTATGGTCCTTAGGACAGGTTCTTGTCACATCTCGCTTCCCGGAGCTCACTCTGCTCTCCACTGACCACCTTTCTCCTTCTCCTTCTATGACCCTTGCAGGAGGGGCTCCAATGTCTCTTTGACCCTGGACATGTGTACTCCTGGCTGCAACGAGGAAGGCTTTGGCTACCTGGTGTCCCCACGAGAGGAGTCAGCCCATGAGTACCTGCTCAGTGCCTCCCGTGTCCTCCAGGCGGAGGAGCTGCATGAGAAGGCCCTGGACCCTTTCTTGCTGCAGGCGGAATTCTTTGTGAGTCCCTCCAAGTGGCCACCCCACCTTTATACATGCAGTGGTCCACCACCTAGCCAATTAGGGCTCAAGTGTACAGACCCAAACATGGAAGAGACAAACACCTCCTTGTCGTCATCTCCCTCAGCATCCTGCACAAGCTTTCAGCCTCTGAGACCTGATGTCCTCACCTGGAAAGTCAGACACATGGCAGGAGTTAGGGAGATGATACCATACATCAGACAGACCGTGGTACTTGGCAAGGTCCTTGCAGGAGTTAAAGGGGACAATACCGTATGGCAGGCAGACAGTGGTGGTTCTGGATCTGTTTCAAAGGTTGTTCTTTGGAAGCTGTAGAAAGCAGCAACTTCCTGGTGGTGTGGTTCAGTGGTAGACCCTGTGCCTAGCAGCATACACAAAGCTGGGTCAAAGCCCATGGGACAAGAACATTTTGTTTTTGCACTCTCCTGTCTTCCCACCCTTCTCTGCCGACATTATCAGGGATGTTTCTCTCCATGTCCCTAGGTCTCCCCTCTTCTCCTCTGGGTTTAAAGCTTAGGTCCTAACTCCTTTCCCAACCTCTAGCCAACATGTATTAGATCTAGAAGGACCCAATAAGTAACAGTCTTGATCCCCTGCCTAGAGTGTGTAGCCATCTACGAGCTCAGCCATAACGAGGTGTGGCCTGTGAGTCACCATAAAGTAAGCTTGAAGTGAGCCTCGTCAGAGTGAGACGAGCATACTTTTAATACTGAGCCTTGGAAACAGCAATCTCCACTGCCACGGGATGCTTGGCTTGGCTTGCCCCATGGGTCTGCACCCATAGTTAATAAGAAAACTCCAGGAGTGAGAAGGGAAGAATTGAGGCCCAAAAGCCCACTTTCCCAGCAGACTCACCAGTCAGGTAGCTCATTCCCTTGTGCCACGTGGGCTCTGTGCTCCAAGCTCCACTGGCAGAACAGTGCTGAGCCTCAGCTTTCTTCTCCAGCCTGGTGCTCCACTCCCATACCAGCAGGAGCTGTCCACTTCTGGGCCAGGGGACTGGGACCTTCCTCACATCACCCTCACCTCAGTGTCTCTAGAAAGCCTTCCTCCACTCCCCAGCCTTGGCTCCCACTCTCAGCTCCCACTTCTCATGTAAAGAGTCTTCCGTGTCCCTTCCTGCTCAATAGATACAAGGAGGAAGAAACACAGGCTGCTCGCCCACTCCATGGGCAGTTCTGCACATGTGTGTGGTGAGGGTTGGTTTTTTTTTAATTATTATTTCTTTTGATTCTCACAAGAGCCCTAGGAAAGTACCACTGTCTGCATTGGGCAAAGACCGTATAGTATATCCAGAGACAGTGAGCAGTATGGTCAGGTGCCAGCGTACACAGACAGATTAGAAGAAACTGCATAGGGAGGCATCCCTGGGGAGGCACCCCAGCAGCCATCAGTGAGGGGATTTAGCTGGGGTGAACCTAACAGTTAGAGACAGTTTGGAGATACAGGGCTAAAACTAGTACTCTCATCAAGTGCAGCATCACGAACATAGGACCTACATGGGTCTGGGCAGAGGTGGGAGGCATGACTAAGAATGGAAAATCAAGAAAAAGGAAAGCCAAGTCGGGAAGATCGTAAGTTCAAGGCCTGCCTGGACTACATATTGAGTTCAGGGGTAGTAAGCAACTTACTGAGACTCTGCCCCAAAATTTAAAAGTATAGGGGGAAAAGAGAGAGCCGGGATCTTAGCCCAGCGGTGGGGTACTTGCCCAGCATGCACAAGGCTCCAAGTTCAGTCTCCAGTATAAGGGAAAGGACAAGAGAAGGAGGCCAGGTCCAGAGAGACTTCACCACCAGGGTGTCCATCAGACATAGCTTCAAAGGGACAAAAGGCCTTAAGGGATGGAGAAGCAAGCTCTCTTTTAAACTGGGCGATCAGAGAGGGTTTTTAAAGGACGTAACCTCAGATAGATGTGTGGAGGAGATAAAGGTGGGCAGGTATTATCAAAAAGTGAACGTCTCAAACAAAAGCCCAAGGAGAGAGTGACAGATGGCAGGAACTCTCGTCCCCAGAGCTACCTGGCTGGCTGCGGCAAAGAGAGCAGGGAAGGAGGCGGTGGCTGGCAAGGTCACCTTTTTGTCTTGTTGTTTTCTCTTGGCCTTTTATTGAACATCTATCACAAACCAGACTGGCCCTCAATAGATAATTGCTGTGCTATTTATTTTATGCCCTTGTCATATGCCAGCAACTACTCTAAGTGTGTGTGTGTGTGTGTGTGTGTGTGTGTGTGTGTGTATGTGTGTGCTAACTCACTTAACAGAAAATGCTTGTCAAATGAATGCATGAACTCAAGACAGTCCCTGCACTGGCAGTTGGAGGTGAGCAGCCTCTGAATTTGGACTTCTGGGAAGACCATCCTGAAGCTGCTCACAGTCCCATGTCCTCCTCTTCTAGGAAATCCCCATGAACTTTGTGGATCCAAAAGAGTATGACATCCCAGGGCTGGTGCGGAAGAATCGGTACAAAACCATCCTTCCCAGTGAGTACATGCTGCCCCGGGGTGGGGAGGGAAATGAGGGTCTGTCACCTGGGAAGTTCTCAAGTCCAGGGGGTCCCCTGGGGATGATGAATGAACATCACAGGAGATGGTATGGAGGTTGGGACAACCAGGAAAGAGAAGGGAATGAGCAGGGACTGCTTCACCTTCTGTCCCTGGACCCTCGCCCTTCCTGGCCAGTGGCATAGAATGCAACACTGTACAGGCACTTACAAAAGGGTGGTTCTGAAGCAATGAAGTGTGTGTGTGGCCTTTCTCTTCTGAGTGGGTATATCATATTTTAAGAAAACATTAAAGGTTCAGAGGAAGTAAAGTGGCTTACCCACAGTCACACAGCTAGTAAACCAAGGCTTTAAACCTGGGCATCTGTGAACCCAGAATCGGGCTCTTCTGATTACCCGTGTTCTGTAGGACCCAACTGTCAGTCCTCTAACAAGCAGAGCCACCTCTCAAAGGGAATGAGGTGCTGTCATCCTGTGGTGGTCTGTCTATCATGGGGTGTATCCAAGTGAGACCACATAGCAATCCCCGTGTAAGGCCTGAGCAAGGCTTGTCTCCTTTGGAGGGGGTTAGACCAGCTGACCTACTGTTCCCATTCTATCCCATGATGCCACTGTCAGGTCACTATCATCAAGACCCTCTGGGGGCTACCTCAGAAGTATGGGGGTGGCTTGTTGGAAGTGAACCCTCCCAAAACCTACTCCACCCAGTGTGTGGAGTAGTGAGCCCTTAAAAAGCAGTTTGCCATCAGCATCTCCAACAGAATGTAAGATGTCATGACTTATTTTTAACTTTTAAAATATCGACTTGTGGTTGCTATGGTTACACAGTCTCTAGGTAGTTACATTTAAACAAAGCACCATTTAAGGCCAGGATGCCTTATTTGGGCTGCTCACCTCTTTTCTCAACTTATCCTCCCTGTTCCTGTTCTTCCTACAGGCAACGGCCTGGCTATCCCAGAACCCAGCATTTTGCTTTGCTCCTTTGAGTGGCCACTGGAGCGAGCCACACTCTATGTGGTCCTGCTGGATTGCTGATGAGATCCTACCTCCTCCAACCATACCCTGAACCTCCAGGCCCCTACACTCAACATAGAATGTTGTACAGCCAGGCAGAGCTGACCCTGAACCTTAAGAGACTGGATGGGGTGGGGGTGGGGACACAAAGAGCATTGATCACAGAGGCAGCCTCTGTGATCAGGAACAGCCTGAGATTTATTTTACCACTGATCACACACATTTCCTGAGCCCCATCCAGGGACTGAGAATTTGGATTCTGCACACAGAGCTTGGTGTCTAGCAAAAGAAACAGCTCTGAAGACAGTCCCAGGGTGAGCAACCACATCAGCAAAACAGTATGAAGATCAAAATTCAGGGTCACAATGCTGTCCCATTCAGCACAGTACCTCAAGCCCCAAAAGGACAGCAAGCAACTGAGAGGCACACTGGTCCGTCTTGAATGAAAAAGCAGATGACTCCCTCAGATCCAGCCCCCTCCCTTCCATCCTTCTTACCAGATGACTTTGTGGGTGTTCAGTCTTCCATGTTGCCCAAGTCTAATGAGCACCATTTACATATGCTACACTGGCATAAATGTCCCTGGGAAAGATGCCAGGCAGGACAGCCTGTGACCTTGACACTTCTTATTGGATTGCAGCAGTCATATCCTGACTTGGACTTTTTCTCCTTCTTGCCTCTCTCACACAATGAGGCAGAACAGAAATCTAATCATGTCCCCTTCTTCCTTAAGCACAGTCAATGTCACCCTCTCTAAGCATGGTGTGTGACACTGTCTGGCATCTGTCTCCTCTCCAGTTTCTATTTCTCACCAGTCTCAGCCTTGGCCTGTGCACCTGGTCAACAAACTGCTTGCTGTTTCTCCTCCTGGTCCTTTAACCCCTGAAAAGTGCCACAACCCCCCGTCCCAGTCCCCATCCCCTCTGTCCCTCCAGTCCCAGAGCTCTCGGAGCCATACTCTACCTGTCTTCCTACCTAATGCTATGCTATCTTTGAGGCAGGGATCATTCATCTCTTGTTGATCTAGAAGGCTCTTCTCATAAACACAGCATTAAGCAGAGCTGGCATGGACCTGCAATCATGACCGCCACCACAGCGACTGACTGATTGCAAAGTTCTCCCATCTGGCCAGAGAAGACAGTGCCCACATCTGTCCTTCCACCACCTTAACCTGGATAGGCAAACCAAGACAGTCCAGGCAGAGCTGCCTACATGAGCACTCTCTTCTGTTGGCCGTGCAGAAACCCCTTCCTGCCTACTCTTACCCATCCCCTCCCCTGAAGCACTTCTATGTGCTCTCTACAAGAACTGTCTACACCCATATCACCTGACATGACATAGGCAGAGATGGGGGCTGGCAGAAGGCTGGAAATGAGAGGGGGATGCCCGTTACCTCCATCACCACCCCAGCTGCTCTAGGTTCTTCTCCATTCCCAATGTCTGGTGGAAACTCATGGTCAATGGCAATTATGCTTGTTATGTAGCATTTGCCATATGCTGTTGGGTGCTGCATCTTGGCCCAGGGGCTATGGTTTCTTTTTTCCTTTTAACTCTCTTTCTAATAATATTTATTTATTTTGTATACACACGCATATAAGTGTATGGAGCACACTTGTGGAGGTCTGAGGACAACCTGTGAGATTCAGTTCTCTCCTCCACCACATGAGTCCCAGGGATCCAACTCAAGTTGTTACACTTGGCAGCAAGCATCTCTACCCTCTGAGCCATCTTACTAGCCCCTGTTAACCATTTTCATCTTTATAAGAAAAAAGAGGTCATCAAGTAGTGACTCTCCATGACATTACTGCAGTGCCTGTAACAGCACATACTGGCTGTGATCCCAGAGGAAATGTGGGTGCTGAGGAGGACAGAGAGGTTGGGCCCAGCTCACACCCTCACCTGTCTCTCACCACAGATCCTCACAGCAGGGTACGTCTGACATCACCAGACCCTGAAGATCCTCTGAGTTCCTACATCAATGCCAACTACATCCGGGTATGTAGCTCCATTCCCCAGAGTCTTCCACTAAAGGAGAGGCCTGAGCTGATACAATCCATCCCCCAGACTTATCCCCCAAGCCAATGTGGCTCCTACAAGCCCGAAAAGGAGCCTAAGTGAGGGATGGGGCCCCGGGAGTGCCACCTCTGACCCTGACCTGACGGGCCGGACTTGGGTGGCTGCAGGGCTACAGTGGGGAGGAGAAGGTGTACATCGCCACCCAGGGACCCATCGTCAGCACTGTGGCCGACTTCTGGCGCATGGTATGGCAGGAGCGCACACCCATCATCGTCATGATCACCAACATCGAGGAGATGAACGAGGTAGGGACCCTGTGCCATTGCTCATTGCTCCTGCTTTGTGCCCCACTAGAAGCAGCTCATTTGCATGCTAATCTTTATGAGACTCTTGTGAGCCTGGCGTGCACTCAGCTGCGAACATAAGGAAATGAGGTGTTGAGAGTTAAGGTGTACACTCAAGGCCACACAAAGGGGAGCAGGGTCTGTAGCTGGCTTCTCCCACCCTGTCCAGTGGCTATGATTTCAGTCATCATCTTCTGCTGCTTCCCAGTCTGCCACTGATGTGCAAGTTCATGGTCAGCAGGCTCATTTAATTGAAATCTCTAAAAAAAAAAAAAAA